GAAAAGAAAAGAAAAGAAAAGAAAAGAAAAGAAAAGAAAAGAAAAGAAAAGAAAAGAAAAGAAAAGAAAAGAAAAGAAAAGAAAAGAAAAGAAAAAGGAACAATAGCATTATCATGAGTAGGGTTCAGCGCTAAAAGCAGGACACGGATGCCTGTGTGGTGGACTTCAGTATTCCAGTTGTTTCATCCTCTACTTTTCCACTTTTGATATTTATGCATTATGATGGTACCTTTTATTATAAGATAAGAATTTTCTCAGACTCCCAGTCTCACACAGGGCAATGGGAAAACATGAAGAGGAAAAGAATTAAGATCACACTGGCTGAACAGTATTTCTGACATTATCAAACTTTCAAGTACTTCACAGGGTAACTTAGAAAGCCTCCAATTTTTAACCCTGTATTTTATACTACAAGTACTTTCCTTCAGTGTATTAGACTTGATAAACTCTGCAAGAAAACTGCATTTTCCAATTCCAATTCAAAATTCTTCTTGTTACCAGAGGGAGCTTTAAGGGATATGTCAATATTCTCACTGGTGGTACAGTGGCTACTCGCCTTCCCCTGCTTCTCATTTCTGCACGCTGGGAATGTAGTATCTTTTACAACGTAAAATGGAAAGCCTCATGATTTTTCTAAGTGCATTTCTAACACACGTGTGTCTAGGAAACCTATGGCTCAGTAACAGAAAATCTCCAGAGAGATGCATTTATGCAGCTGGAGACTGCCTGCCACAGCAAAGCCTTTACCACTGCTCTGAAGATCATCATCTGTGAATGGTCAAGCCACTTCTCAAGGCATTTTGGCACACAGCATCTGCAGGTAGAATTTCAGGACCGCCTTACAGTAAGGCAAACACAAGCTGAAGGGAGAAGGGATTGCTCCATCCTATCACCAATTCCCATACTACCCCTCTCCTGAGCAGGCCAAGGAAAGATCTGCGTGGGAATTAATCCGAAGGAAACTCTCTTTTTAACTCCAGCTCCATCAGTCAGTCCCCTGATCTAGTTAGCATGCAGCTACAGCAATGCCACTGCAAGCTCAAAAGCACAGGGGAAAAGCAGCCCCTTGACACTGGGCGGCAGCTCATGATTAGGATGACTTAAAATGACTCTCCGTCTGGAATCRAGGTTCAGAGAGCTGGATCCACATYAGTGGGGATMTACAGGCCCTTGCCCTTCCGAGAGGTAACGCACTCACCGAGACGCCTGGTGTCACGACACAGCAGCCCTCATAGCAGAGGCCATGGGCTGGGAAGCGCTGCTCTCACAAGCAAAGATCACCTGGRAATGGGAGAGAAAGGAAGAGTTTCACCAGCAAGAAAGGGCACACAGCAGAGTCAGCTGCCACCACCCTCCCCAGCACGTCCAGCCACAGGGGAAGAGGAATGAAGGGCTGCTCYGAACCCCTGACGAGGGGCAGCCTTTGCTCAAACGGGCAAGATTTGTTGGCACAGAGAAAGCCTCAGCCCGACTGGAGCAGCCTGAGGATGCCTGCTGCACGTGAAGGTGCGGAGGGGAAACAGCTCAGCCCGGCTCCAGCACTCCCACGCTGGAGCTAGCYGGATTCCCATGAGCTCATCGGTGCTCCAAGGAGCTGGCACAGAGCTCGTACCAGCAACCTTCCCTCCTCTCTCTCCTCTAAGGGCCGCCTTGCCCTCGCTCACGAGCCCAGCTCTCGGGGCAGCCCCCRGCACTGCAGAGCACCGGGTGCSAGGTGAAGCGAGGCGATGCTCAGCYGCCCCGGGATCGCCTGGCAGGCTGCAGGAGGGGAAAGCGCTGCCCCTGCTATCAGCCCCTGCTTCACGTCTCGGTGCTATGCTGCAGGGGGATGCGAATCCAAGAGCAAACTCCCAAGCAAGGCATACCCTAAGTCTGCCCGAGTTAGAGAGGCAGGTATGGCACTAAATCCCGTGCGTGCCACAGCCATCTCCAAAACGCCAAAACAGCTCACAGTCTAGGAGCCAACCAGCCACACTGGCAGTTAACGGAGACAACCCCCCAACCATCAGTTAATGTGGTCACACATGGAGACACACGCAGGAGCCYGGGAGTTCAGCAACGCCAAGAGACTCGGGCCCTGAGGCCGGGCTCAAGGGCAAGCGCGGGGCCAGCGCCGCGGGAAGAGCAGCCCCACGCCAGGCCCTTCCACCTCGCCTGCTCCGAAGGCGGCAAGAGCGGCGCCAATCCCGCAGCGTCCAAGGGGCCGGGGCTGGACGCCATCCCCCCTGAGCGCCCCCTCGCCCAGCCCCTCGCAGTGGGGCTGACAGCTGAAATCACCAGCAGACGTTTGGGTGTCATCTCAGCGCGTTCTGCTGACCACATCTGCCCACCCAAACACGAGGGCCGCTGCGAGGCCCCATGAGCTACGTGTTGTGAAACCTTTCGCATATTCCCTGCCCTCCGAAGCCGCAGCTTCCCCTGGATGACTTGCAATCCTCCACCACGCAACCTACCCCAACAAAACCAAACTACAAAGCCRGTCCCAAACAACCGCGCTACCCTCTCCGCCCAGGCCAGCCAAATCAAACAGTGAAATCACCAGCACGATAGACGGTCCTTATCTGGCCAAGTCACACCTGCAGACAGAAGCTGGAGCAAACACCTACCCCAACAAGCTGCTTCGCCCAGCAAAACCGACCAGAGCAGCAGAATCATCCCTGAATYCAACCACCGCTCGAGCTCTTCCCTTTCCCCCTCACCACGCAGAACAGCCAGGCGGCACCTCTGCCCAGCGCCCGAGGAGCTGCGCGCGCACCGGGACGCCCTCCGAGCGCTCGGCCTCTGCTCCACACAGCAGGGCAGGGAGGCGGCTTCACACAGCACCGCGCGCGGCTCAGAGCGGGACACGACTGGGGGGACAGGCGGCAGCTCGAGGCTACGCGCGCAACTTACGGCGGTGCAAATCCCTGCCCCAGCTCCCATCGCCCACCCACGTGAGGCTGGCGTGAGCCCACTGGCTCCTCTGTGCCTTTGGTGGGAGCACGAACACGAGCAGTGACCACGGAGCGGCCAACACGACACAAACCCGTGCTGGGGGTTWCCTTCTGGTAACGCACCAGGCATCCCTTGGCTCCAGTGAACTAGCCACCATACTACTGCAGCATAAACAAAAGCTTTTTTTAAAAAGAAAAAAAAAAAAGAAAAAAGAAGAAATAAAGCAGTTTATTTCTCCTTTTTTTTTCCACTTGAAAGTGCAGAAGTGGTGCTTCAGTACCTTGGAAGTGGCGAGTGGCCAGACACTTGGAAAGGTGCACAGCGTTACGGCCGCTTCAGCGGGAAGAGCTGCAGTTACCACTGATTCACTTCAGTCTCTTCCCCCTCTTTGAGAAGGAGAATGTGGAGAGATGAAATGAAGGCACACCAAGCAGATAAAAGCACCAAACCCGCGGCCTGACTGTGACACRAAGCATGAAAGGCGAGGAGCCTCTCTCTCCGCGCACAAGAAAGAGCGCGCTCCTTTTTCCTCCCCGGCCTTTCTGAGACTGCCAATCTGCGCCGGACCGAGGGTGGCGGGAGCCCAGAAACCATCACGGAGAAACGAAACGAAGGCTGGAAACCTGCAGCAAACGGGCGGTGCCTCCGCAGGGGCCGGCGGCGCGAGGCGGGAGCGGCGGGGCGCTCTGGAGGGCTGAGGCGGCCGCCGCAGCAACCGCCACCCCCGTGAGGCGCCATGAGGCGCCATGAGGCGCCGGGCCCCGCGGAGCCGCCGAGGCTGCGTCAGGCCGGCAGTTCCCCCGGGATGGGCTCGTCCCGTCCCTCCGACCCTCGCTAGGCCCCGGGAGAGGGAGAAGAGCYGCGGCGGTCCAAGGCGGTCCCGCTYGCGACGCACCGCGAGCCGCCTCCGGCTCTCGCCATGAGCTGCGCTTTTCAGCCTCGCCGGTATCTGCCTGTCTGGGACGCCGGCAGCCGAACCGCCCACATCACCTTGTGTTTTACAAGCGGCTCTTTAGTAGTGTTTGGTTGCGCACCGCGTTGATAAGACGYGACCGCGAAACAAGGCGGAGGCGGGAAGGGTTTCCCAGGGCCCTCACCCAACTGCCAGGCTCCCCTGCGATCAGGTAGAAACCAACAGACAAAGTGACATGAACGGTCTAATATCAAAACAATCTCCTCAGGACACTTAAGGCTATGGGGTCACAATATACTCTTTAATCCTTTGCACCAGCCCCACTCACTAGATACAACCATTACTAACTACACCTTAACTTGCCTCCAGCTCTTGGCAAAAACTGTCCTCATCCTTCCTGACCAATGCAACATACACCTCGCTGTAGTAATAAAACTAGTGTTGGGCCCACCGCACCCAAACAGGTTTGCGGAAAACAGCGGCCTGTCTTCAGCTGCCAAGTGGGTGCTGGGCCCGGGGAAGCGGCTGCAATCGGCCTAGACCAGTCCAAGTCTAGCCCCTCCAGCTCCCCTCATCACTCTGATGATAAAGMTGAAAAATTACTCCAGAAGAGATATGATTGATTTTCAGGAGCGGGGATTCTGCTCTGAGCCAACCAGGGGTCCACTTGCTCACTGGAACCAGCACAACCAGCGACTGTTGGCACAGGCTCCCACTGCACTTACACCCTCCCTGCCCCGCTCCCCTCGCCTCCCTTCCTGAGGAACAACCGGGGCTGGAGACTCCGTCAACACACTGGCCATGTAAACACAGCATAACCAGATCCTGCTCAAAAGAGCTGCTTAAATGGGGAGGCTAGCAAATTCTGTCATTCCCTGGGGGCTCCAAATGCCATTGCTTGTAAAGCAATTTCTCAATGCCAATAGCTGGCTTGTTAATACTGAGCTGAGTAGTTAACAACCRGCAGTCAGGGCTAGGCACCTACTTCTACGAGCTCCTAAGTTATCATGCAACAGCATGAACTTAGCTACGTGCACATCTTGTCCATAAAAGAGATGCCACACACAAGGTTCTCACAGTTTCCCCAAACCAGGAATTCCTCCTTATGAAGACATCAGAGAAGCGACTGCTCACCCCGAATCTGCACAATGTTATCTCTTTGCTTGCAGTTTTGTACCAGAAGTGACCCAATGAAGGCAGGAACTTGGGACACCCAAATCAGTGAGACGCCTACACCACATTCACCAGGTTTGTCACAACCTCCACAGCGTCACGAGAGGTTGATGAGTAGCTCCCCTCATGTATGTGGTCTGTATTTGCCCTTCCACTAACCTTTAAACACAAGCAGGCCATTTCCCAGACCAAGCTCCATACCTTGGAAGGCATCCAAGGCACTGGATGAGAAAGGGGACAAGCAAAGAGAGGCACACTTAGAAGAAAATTAACATCCTGAAGACCTGATTACAGAGAAAGAGCAGGCAAGACCGCACACCATTACAAGGAACAGAAGTTCTTTGACTGGTTCAGATTAATGTAAAAATTTAGACCCATGGCATAAACTGCCCAGAAACTGTAAGAACGTGCTCAGTCATCCCTGTGTAACTGTGTGTGCAGGGGTGTGTGTGCCCTGTCACACAAATGAAACCCAGCTGAGCCTGGATGTGTCTGCCTGTCCATGTATCCTGGGTAAGAGAGCAGAGTCAGTCTCTCTCCCTCGCTCCTCCTTCCAGCTCCTACCACCACACACACGTAGGCATTTTCCTCAAGCCCACTCARAACAAGAGACGGTCGCAGCAAGGTTCATTTTAGAGAGGCACTGAGAGCACAACGCAAACCCAAAGGCTCAAAGAAAGGAACTCTATGTGACATTTCCATTGCTACCATCCTTGCTCTGCTGTGGTAGTATCTGCACAGGCTAGTCCCTTCTTTCCTTCTTYCAACAGGTACAAGGATAACAAACAGTAGCCCCGAGGTAAAGGCTGTTCGAGTAGCTATTCATTCTGAGTATGTGCAAAATCATTCTACAATACCATTTTGCAATAGATTTTGTTCACCGTCAAGAGCATGTCGTCCACCTAACTCATAACCACCATTTTAAGATTTATCAATAGCACTCTTTGTAAAAAAAGATTAAGTGTCTGGGKTTTTTTGTTTGTTTTGTAGAGCTAACGATACTTAAGTATGTTAATAATACAGCGAGGAAGAATAACTCTCCCAGACAGTTTCTGATTTTACACAGCTTGCCACAACTCCTTCCATACAGCAACAGAGGAGACSGACACTTACAGGGACTGCCAAGCAAGGCCAAGGCGAACAGAGACATCTGAAGCCTCACTCCATTTTCCAGCCGGCACAAAGCCACGAGCTCCTCAGCCTTGGACTAGAACACGGCCTCTCAACTAACTCCAACATAGTCCCAGCAACACACCTGGGCCTGAAGAAAAGCCCAAGACGCAGCCACCTGCACCTACACAAGACCATGAGGTCCCAGTGCTGCTCCGTCCCSGGTGTTGCTCCATCGGCCGTCCAGGCTGCTCTCAAGGTGCATCTGTCGTGCTCCCATCTCCTCGGCCCCACTGCAACCCCACGCAGGTGCCGCTGTGGGCTCGGCTCCACAGACACAGGTAGCTGGAGCTCGGAGCACTCCACGCGCCACCTTGGGGGTGGCTTCTCTTGCTCCAGAGTCCCTACTGTAGTAGGGCTGATAAAGATCAAATGCTTTCAGAAACAAGGGATTTTTCAAAAACAAAAAAATATTTTAATGATATTTCCCTAATATAAGAAAGGTCTCTGTGGCTGGCTACACTGCGTTAGCTGTCATCAGACCCAACACAAGCCAAAATTTCAAGTGGAAGTCCAGAGGGCAAGAGTGGAGTTTCCACAGGCTGCTTTCATAGCATCTTCTTCTATCGGAATTTCATCCTCATCTTGGGATGCAGCAGGTACCACGGTTGGTGATCCTTTTTCCTCTTACTTCTCTGGTCTTATTTTTGCAGAAGTTCAAACAGCAGCACCAGCATGAACAACAGGTARAAGTCAGCATACAGCATGTTGGCAGCACCCCCTCTCCCCTTTTTTTTCCCCTATGGTTTAGAGGAAAAGATGGAAATACAATGGATAGGAAGATGGGTCTGAACAGACATCAGTTTGTTCTTCAATATACAGTAACTCCATAATGTTCAAGCAGAAAGCTTGGGAGAAATAAGCCACCTATCCATTCAGCAAGGAAAGAGRAAAGGACTTTTCCTATTCATTTCAGCATCCCCTCTCCAGGTTTCACGAAGGAGAGAGATGAAACAGTCCTCAGGCATAACACCTCGGGCTGCAATCCTGTCAGTTTCCATAAACTAAATGGAGCCRGGATGGGTCAGTACAGGACAGAGCTCCTCCCAGGAAAACCTGGTGCTGCAGCTAGCAGCAAATCCCCGGGATGCTGCAAGGGGACATCACACACGATGCCTTTCAGAATTGCTGGGGGCGACCCACACACCTGCCCTTCATGTTAACCTGCWCTTAACAGGTACCTGCTCTATCTCTCTCGCCTTCATTCCTCGAGGGCAGTTTTCCAAGGCTTTTCCAGGCTCCCCTACACACGCCTGCCTTCCAGTGCTGCCTGCTGCTACACCAGCCTCCATCCCCTCCCAGGGGCACCCATCCCTCCGCCCGGTCCCTTCCATGGGCCCTCCGGCAGCTTTGCACCTCCCTGGCACTCGGGGAGCTCAGCAGGGCCAGGCAGCCATTCCCACGGGGACAGAGCTAAACAACCAGCTTTTAATTCAGATTCAAACAGCTCCGGCTGGTGGGTCAGGCGCGTGCCAAGGGGCAGCGCTCCCGGCAAGGGGAACCTCTCTCCCCGGCAGGCCCGCTGTGGGGAGCACCACCCCAAGGGCTCCCGTGCATGGGTCACCCAGAGGCCGAATCCAGGGCTCCGGCGGCTCCGCTAAGGAGCAGGGAGCTCCAATGCTCGGCTGGCGGGCAGGAGCGTCTCCGCGGYGCTCCCGGGCACCACGGGGCCCTGCCAAAGCTGCTGGATATGAACCTGGCATTTGACAAACAACGCGAGGCCACCCGAAGATCTCAAAGCCCTGCACRTGAAAACATGTATTCCGACGGGAAACGAAGCAATTCCGTAGTCAGGTCTTTTATTGAGGCACCGCTTTGGCAAGACCTTACGCAAGCCCGGGCAATTCCCGTTGCGGCAAAGCCCTCCCTCCCGCACTCCAAGACGCACACGCTTAATATTTCTCTCGTTAGCCACACACGCACACGAAGCCTGCAGCGCTTCCAAGTATTTGCTGTGCCGGGTAAACAGCGGGCCCCTTTCCAAGGCTCCYAAAGGCCTGTCGGAGCGCAGGGAGCCCGCACGGCCGCGCGGAGCCCGGCCCTCCCGCACGGGGCTCCGCGCCTGGCAGTTCCAACTCCCCAGCCCCAGCCMCAAGGAGGTTACTCGGGGTTTATTTTCATTTTCTCAGAGACGCAGGAAAGCACTTTCTTGCTAACAAGCTGTCAAGCCACTCTGGCCTTCGGTTTTTGACTCTCTTCTCATCCATACATCTCAAATGTCATGGAAAATTTCAGTCCTCCCGGCCCGCAGCTCTGCAGAGGATCTCTCCGCGCACGGGGCTGCCTCGGCCCTGCACAACAACCCCCTTCGTGCYGCAGCGGCTTCGCTTTCACGGGCTSCAGCTTTGCTTTACGTTACACTGCAAATATAACTCCAATCAACACTCAAAGCCAGCCAGCAGATAAAACACGGCCATTTCACGGGCAGAGGAATGGAGGTGTCGAGACACCTAAAGCCAGCTTAGCAAAAATGCAAGAGCACAGCCCGGGAGAGCGCGATACAGAGCCCCGTGCTCGGCCTTTCCTGCAGGTCCTGCACAATTCCACACCCAGTGCAGAGGTGGGAAGACGCTTCACGCAGCGCACRCAGGTCAGGCACGCGGCTCTCCAGCGGCGTGAGCTGGTGGCTGGCAACACGCAGGCTCAGGGAGGCTCCTTCCCCAGCCCCTGCGTGGAGGCAGCCCGTGGGCGCAGCTGGAGCAGCGCTTCTTCCCGTCTTTTCGGGACAAGAGCACCCAGCTCGGAGCGTCGAGGACGCTGCGCCGCCACCTTCCAGCCACTCTGCGTGGGCAGAATCAGGTCCCTGGTCAAGCGCCCCTTCCTCCCAAAGCATTTCATTGACTCTGCCTCTGAGCCTTGCAAATAGAATCACATTAAAGCTGCACCTGGCTGCTCCGTCTCCCACCTCCATTCCCTGCAGCACAAGCTCCTTCCCCAAGGCCACGCGAGGAGGAGCTCACCTCCCCTATGGAGACACGAAGGGAACCCGAGCTTGTTCGTGCCCCCAAGGGACGACGCTCGCTCCTCAGGTGTAGCAGCCTGCACACTGTTAACAGCCTTTAAATACGCTCAGTGACTGGYGTCAAAATAAACCCAAAACAGAGCGGAGATGCGCTGATCTGCTGAAGAGCAAGCGGGAAGAACGCACGGATGCGGGAGGGAGACACAYGGAGAAGCCCAGGCAGCTGCAGGGGTCCCGAGCCCCACACCAAGGCCCCGCGGCCACCGGCACCTCTCCAGCTCCGCTCTCCGCTGTGTCCGGGGAGAAGCCTCGGAGAAGCCCCCAGCAAAACCAGGCGGAGCAGGTTATTCCCTCCCTCCCTCTTCCCAATATAGCAGCACATCTGTTGCAGCAAAGTAAAGCACAGGTTTAGATCACAGGCTTAWCGTCTCTTCCACAATTTCTACTGTCACTGACGATGATAACTGAATATTCTTCCTATTCCTGGAGACATCTGATCCTTTTTAACTCTCGGTCGGTTCTTGCKCCTGATGACTCTCGCAGCATGAGTTTCACTGCTTAATTGCAACCATCCCAAATATTCTGTCATCAATTTGCGCTACATGCTCCAGAGCATCAGATGGTCTCAGAGCAGCGGAAATATCCCCATAGCTGAGCTTCACAGAAACATGGAATCACAGAATGCCCAAGGTTGGAAGGGACCTCGGGGTCATCTAGCCCAACCCCCTGCTCACACAGGGTCACCCAGAGCACRKGGCACAGGGCTGCGTCCAAGCAGGTTTGGAAGATCTCCAAAGAAGGAGACTCCACAACCTCCCTGGGCAGCCTGTGCCAGGGCTCTGGCACCCTCACTGTCAAAAAGTGTTTTCTCAAGTTCCTGTGGAACTTTTGGTGCCTCGGCTTGCGGCCGTTTCCTCTAGTCCTGTCGCTGGCCACCACTGAAAAGAGGCCGCCCCCTCCTCCTCACTGCCTCCCTTGAGGTATTTATACACGCTGATCAGGTCCCCCCTCAGCCTCAGGCTGAGTAGAGGGGGACGATCACCTCCCTCGACCTGCTGGAGACGCTYTTCTTAATGCACCCCAGGATCCCGTTGGCCTTCTTGGCCACCAGGGCACACTGCYGCCTCATGGTCAACTTGTCGTCCACCATGACACCCAGGTCCCTCTCTGCRGGRCTGCTCTCCAGCAGGTCCACCCCTAATCTGTMCTGGTGTCCRGGGTTATTCCTCCMCAAGTGCAGGACCYTGCACTTGCCCYTGTTGAACCTCATGAGGTTTCTCRCCGCYCAGTCCTCCAGTCTGTCCAGGTCCCTCTGGATGGCAGCACAGCCCTCAGGGCTATCAGCYACTCCACCCAGYTTGGTATCGTCGGCAAACTTGCTGAGGGAGCACTCCAGCCCTTCATCCAGGTTGTTAATGAATAAGTTGAACAGGACCRGRCCRAGAACTGACCCCTGGGGGACACCACTAAGTACAGGCCTCCAGCTGGACTCCGCACCATTGACAACCACTCTCTGCACCCTGCCATCGAGCCAATTCCTAATCCACCTCCCCGTCCACTCATCTATCCCACACCTTTGGAGCTTGCCCAGGAGGATGCTGTGAGGGACGGTGTCAAACTTTTCTTAAAGGTGCTTAAAAGGGGTTTCTCCTTTCTATGCGTTGCATACGCGTTCAGAGACGAGGAGCATTTTTGGCCAAAGGAATGAGGCAAACGGACGGGATGCTCCCCAGGCTGGGAACGCCACCGGGCAAGGCTCGCACACGCTTCGGGGCGCAGTCACACGAGCGCTTCTTTSGGCAGCAACGCCAGCGTTACAGGCAGCTGCTGCTGCTGCTGCTGCTTACCTGCAGCCCCGCTCCGCAGGGCTCCACGCGCCGGCACAACCCTCTGCACGGCCAAAGAGCCGAGCCGGGTGCCAAGGGGACCGCAGGTCTCCGTCAGGTCTAAGGCCACTTAGGAAATGCTGGTAAATGTCTAGAAAGTGAGGGAGATCAAACCAGGCTCGGTAACACAGCTGACATTTAGGCTGGGAATTGGTTTGAGCACTCACTTGAGTGCCAATTGCTCCGCAGGCTAAAAATAAAAGTATTGGGTTTTTTCTTCTTTTCTCCCCATTGACTTGATGAAAGAGCAGGGAAACTCCGAGGCCGCACGCAGTTCTCAACGCAACGGAACGGACACGGCACGCGAGGAGCTCCAGAGGAACGCAGCCTGGAAATCAAYACACAGGAGCAGGAACGGGGAGCCGGCATCCTACAGCGCCGCACGTCACAGCCGCGGAGCTCGGATCCACTCCACTCCGCGGTCCCAACACCGCGGATCCGCCCGGGATCCGTCCCGCAAAGCGGGCGCCTCCGCCGTGCGCCCCGCTCACACCTGGGCGCCCCACGGCAAACGTGGCGTGGAGCCCCACGGGAAGCTAGACCCACCCCACAGCACCCACCGGAGGGCGGCCGGACCCAACCCCTAGCGCCCATGGGGCAAGGAGGGCTGGCCACACCAAGCTGGATGCGGCCAGGAGTTGTTTAGAGCGTTTCTCTTTTTGTGCTGTTTGGGTTTGTTCACACTTATTTAACGTCAATGATTGATTAACATGCGGGATAAAGGAGGGCTTTGTCAGTGATCCGGCTTCTCCACCCCCTCAATTAAGGTGCTAAAGAGTTCACAGCAGCGCGGGGAGACTCAAGATCCGCAGTCTCCTCTCCACAAAAAAGAGATCAGGGGGCGAAAATTGTGAATCTCAAAAGAAAAAAGATCACGGGGAAAATTGTGAATCTGAAAACTGACATGGTGGCTCCGTCCAAGCCAAAGGAAAGCCGCCTTTCCTTCGTTGTTTGAGGAGGAGCCAGCATGGGAGACGAGCGAACCCGAGCCCTTGGGCCACTTCCATGCTTGGAGGAAAAAGAAAAGGGGGCACATCCACTGAAAACGATCTGTTTGGAGATCGATTAAAAACAATATAGCAAAAGGAAAGAGCCACAAGGCCGGTTAGCCCAGAGCGGCTCCGGCAGCTCCTCAGGCCAATTCCCAGGACAGCTGGCGCGCGGCAGGGCCGTCCTGGGGGGCGGCAGGGCCRCCCCGTGCGGGCGCGAGGCGGATGATCCCGGCGCTGCCGCTCCGGGCGCGCGGAGGCCACCGAGGCCGGACGCCAGGGCCCCTCTCGGCGTCGCCCACCTGCGCCCCCCGCGCCCTCCCGCAGGCAGCCGCGGGCCCCACGGCCGCGGGCCCCACGGGACGCGGAGGAGGCGTGCAGGGGGGCTGCTGCTGCTGCTGCTCTCACTGCACGCGGAGCTTCTGTTGGGTCCCACGTCGCGTCCTGCCGGCCTCTCCGACRCCCGCTCCAGCCAAGCCGGGGGCAATCGCGGCCACGACATCCCTCTTCAAGCAAAGCCCAAGCGGCTCCTTCCCGCTTCTGAGGAGCGAGGCGTTCGAGGATGCTTCCCAGCGCCATGCAGCGTCTCCACAGGCTTTCCATGGAGCACCAATAGTCAGAAGACTTCCAAGGAAAATAAAAATGGCAGGGAAGCGGCTCCCCCCCAGCCCCACGGGAGCTTTCCTGCGGAGCTGCCTGCCCCTTCCCCACGGCCTCCTCGGGGGCGCGTGGGGAGCCCCCAACAGCAAAGCTCCACGGGGTCACCTGGCTCGGCACGACTCTTTCCCTCTCCCGTCCCCAAAAGCCCCCAGGGTCACCAGCAAACAGCCACCCCAAGCAGCCGCCCCGGCTCGCGAGGGCGAGGGCTGCAAACCCCATGCTCCCTTCCCACAACTCCGGGCTTCCTGGCTGTTTCCTGGGCCAGCTCTGCGCTCCAGGGCAGCCACGGACGAGTTCCTTCCCTTTCGCACTGGTGAACCTGGAGTTTTCCAAAGCCAACTCTCCACCATCATGGTATTYCTTGATACTTCCTTCCTCACCGCGCACCAGCCTCCTGACCGGATTCTCATCTTGTTTCCCGTCAAACACGGGCAATCAGCGGCCAACCCCAGGAGTTGTCGGATGCCCAAGTAACAGCCCGCCGCTCTTGGTCACATCCTTGCCAATCCCTGGCACCAGCGCCAAGATCCGACTCTTCCCCGCTGTGCCCTCGCCGCTCACCTTCCCTCGGGGAGCACCCAAACCTGCCACCTCCCAGACACCCGCTCCGCAGGGACCTCCTTCCTCCCATCCCCTCCTCTCCCGCACAGGAGCCTCAGGGACAGCGGACTGGGAGACTCCAGGCTGGGAGACGCCTCTTCCCGCCGGCGGCGCTGCCTCCCGCCGCCCGCCCCATCCCGCCCCCCCGGGCCTTTGGCATGCCCTGCACTCACCCCACACCACAGCCCCACGCTTCTCCCTGCGCGGGAGGCCAGGGCAGAGGCCGCCCCTTCGCACGGAGCCTCCCGGTGCTCCTGCTCGCGCTGCACCCGGCGCGGGGCACCCCCCTGCCCCCCGGGCCGCCACCGGGACCCACTCCTGCCCCCCGCCCCACGTCCCAGCCCTGCCCCGAGCGCAGCCCCCTTGCAGCCCCCCAGGGCCTCCCCTCACACCCCGCGTGGGTCCCGCGGCCCCTCTGCCACTGCCGCTGTCCTGCCCCCCGGCAACCTGCCCCCGCTTCCCTGCGGCGCATCCCGGGGGGCCCGGCCCCATCTCCATCACCCCGTGCTGCCCCGCACGCTGCGGGGCTGCCCTCCGGCCCCACACACACCGCCCCAGCTCAGTGCGCACACCCAGCACGGCCCCCAGGGCAGCCCCGCGCACCCCTCCGCAGCCCCAGGGCGCCCC